ATTTTCACAAGTCTCTATGAGATCCCCCTCATTCATCTGAACTCTAGAGAAAACAATCCCAACCTAGTCAATCTCTCCTCAAACGTCAGACCTGCCATCCCTGGAATCAGCTTGGTAAACCTTTGCTGCAATCCCGTGAGAGCAAGAGCATCCTTCCTCAGAAAAGGAGACCAAAACTGCACACAACATTCCATGTGTGGCGTCACCAAGGCCCTGTATAACTGCAACAACACATCCCTGCTCCTGCACTTGAAACCTCTTGCAACAAAAGCCAACATACCGTTTGCCTTCTTTACCACCTGCTGCATCTGCATGTTTATCTTCAGCAACTGGTGCACAAGGACACCCAGGTCCCACTGCACACTCCCCTCTCCCAATTTACAGCCATTCAGGTAGTAATCTGCCTTCTTGTTTTTGCTTCCAAAGTGAGCAAACTCACATTTATCCAAATTATACTGCATCTGCCATTGATTTGCCCACTCATCCAACTTGTTGAGATCATGCTGAAGGATCTCTGCATCCTAGTCATAGTCCACCCTCTCACCCAACTTCATATCATCTGCAAACTTGGAGATGTTACATTTTGTTCCCTCATCCAAATCATTAATATATATTGCGAATAGCTGGGGTCCAAGAGGGTGCAAGACTGAGAATGTGAACTCACTTCATCAATTCTGGAAATAAAATTATAGAATCAATAGAAGTGATCAAACTGTTGGATTGTTACCATAAACTTAACTGGGTCACTGATGTCCTTTACCGAAGGAAATCTGCTGATCTTACCTGGTCTGAGCCTAATTTTGGGTTAGTTCCACACCAACGTGGTTGACTCTTAAATGCCCTCTAAAACGGCCTAGCAAGCCACTCAAAATGGTAAGCAGCTATGTCACAGCCTGAGAATTAACTTTCAAAATTATAAATCTCTTCAACATCAATATTGCATCCAACAATGTAAAACTCAAAGTTCTCAAATTTTGAGCAGAACAAAATCTATGATTTCACTATTCCTGCATTTCATAGTTCAAACGGACATTGCATGAAATTTTTATTTATCACAACACTTTACAGAATTTGATATAGCACCTTTTATATTCTGCTGTATCACAGCAAGAACAGGAGGCCATTCAGCCCCTCCAGCCCGTTCCACCATTCAACAAGATCATGGCTGATCTGTGGCCTAACTCATATACCTGTCTTTGGCCCCACATCCCTTAGATGCATTTTTGTTAAGCAAAGGCATTATCTCAGACATTAAATTAACAACTAATCCTGCATCAACTGCCATTTGTTGAAGAGATTGCAAATCTCTACCACCCTGTGTGGGTACAAGTGCTTCCTAACATCTCTCCTGAATGGCCTGGCCCTAATTCTCAGACTATGCCCCCTAGTTATAGAATGCCCAACCAGTATGTAAAGATAAACAATCTTCACTGTCTTTTCCTGTAAACAGCTTGCAGACTTGATCGATCACCCCTTAACCATACAAATTTTATAGAAAACATGTCTAATTTGTGTAAACGCTCTTCATACTTGAGGTCCAGGTATTAATTTTTATAAACCTATGTCATACTCCCTCCAAGGCCAATATACCCCTCCTAAACTGTTAAGATTAAATCTCGTTCTGTAGGCAAACATGGCAGGAAACTTTCACAACTTGCATTTATATCTTGCTATTAATCAAGTCAAATATCCCATGGTGCTTTATGGGCGTATAATTGGACAAAATCTAACACTAAGCCACCAAAGCTGATAACCAAAAGCTTGGTCAAAGAAGTCATTTCAAAGCCTACCTCTAAGTTTTTAAGAAAAGGGCAGAGAAGCAGGACAGCTTTAGGGAGGGATGAAGGCACAGCTGCTAAAGATTTAATGGCAAGATTAAAAGTAAAATAGTCACCACAGTCCTCCCAGACCAAAGGGCTGCTCTCTAATTAGAAAGAGATAACTGGTAATGGTTTAACCTCAGGGTCACCAGATCTCAGGCATGGGGAAGAGGGTGAAGAGAGCCCTTCAAGATAACCTCAGCCAATGTGGGAATTGAATCCATGTTATTGGCATTATTCTGCATCGCAAACCAGCCATCCAGCCAACTGAACTAATCAAATGCCAATGGCAGGAGATCAATTATGAAAGTGCAGAAAGGTTTCTCAAGATCTTCAAATAGAGGCAAATGGATGAAAGTTTTAGTGATATTGATTTAGGGATAAGTTGTCCAGACACTCGAAAATTCTCTTGTTCTTCTTCCAAAACTCTATTCACTTAACAGACAATATTTTCATATTTCTTCAGAGAATGTGGGTGTCATGGGCCAAGCCAACATTTATTACCATTCCCTGAATCCTTCACTGAATCCGGGAAATGAGGTAACCAATTCCAATAGATCCCAGAGTGTAAATAACAGGCGCTTCATCGGAGGCTGCACTGATGATGTTACCCAGCAGGGTAATGAAACGTCTGCGAACTAACGAACCAGCTCGGCGACAAAACCAACCACAGCATCCACAACCCGAGCTACAAACCTACTCAAGAACCTATGATGGTACCTGGAACAATGTAACATTCCTCGAGTCAGCCGAATTCAACTGACAGCACTCTCACCTCTAAGTTTGAAATTCCTAGCTTTGAGCACAAAAAACGGCTGTCACTCCACTGCAATATTGAGAGAGTGCTGCACTGTCAGGTGCTTTCAAATGAAGCATTAAACTGAGCCCCCACGTGACCTCTCAGGCATACATGGGATTATTTCAAAGAGCAGTTGTGCCCAATGACCTGGCCACTATCAGGCCTGTCTCGTGCTGCTGTGATGAGCTTGAACAATTCATCCACTTCGCCAACACCTTTCACCCTGACCTCAAATTCACTTGGACCATTCCAACACCTCCCTCCCCTTCCTGGACCTCTCCATCTCCATCTCTGGCAACTGACTCAGCACCGCCATCTATTTTAAACTCACCGACTCCCATAACTACATCGACTACACCTCCTCTTACTCACCCTCTTGCAAAACCGCGATCCCATACTCCCAATTCCTCCGCCTCCGCTGCATCTGCTCCCAGGATGAAGCATTCCACTCCTGGACATCTCAGGTGTCCTCCTACTTCAAGTCCGTAACTTCCCCCTCCCATGATTCATGATGCCCTCAACTGTACCTCCTGCATTTCCCACACTTCTGCCCTCAAACCCCTCCCCCAACAAAGACAGTCCCCCTAGTCCTCACATACCACCCCACCAATCTCCGAATCTAACGCATCATCCTCGGCCACTTTCACCACTTGCAATCAGATCCCACCACCACAGAAATATTCCCCTCCCCATCTCATCTACTTTCCATAGGGACTGCTCACTCCGCAACTCCCTTATCCATTCCACACTCACCACCAAGCTGACCACACCCAGCACCTTTCCCTGCAATGCCTGCCTCTACACCTCCCCTTTCAGCTCCATCCAAGGCCCCAAACAACCATTCCGTATCCAACAGGGATTCACCTGTGCATCTTCTAAACTGGTCTACTGTATCCATTACTCCTGACGTAGTTTCCTGTACATCGGAGAGACCAAGCGCAGACTCAGTGACCGATTCATGGAGCATTTGCGCTCTGAACACTCCAATCAACACCACCTTCTGGTTGCCAGCCATTTCAACTCCCCTTCCCAGTCCCTTGGCAACATGCCCATCCTGGGCCTCCTCTAATGTTGCAATGAGGCCACATGAAATTTGGAGGAACAACACCTTATATTCCACCTCGGGAGCTTACAACCCAATGGCCTCAACGTAGAATTCACTAGCTTCAAGCTCTTCTCCACCCCGGCCTCATCCCATTTCCAGCCCTCCCTCTCATTCCCACCACCTTGACCTGACACAATCTATCTGAAGAAGGGTCCTGACCCAAAACTTCAACTTTCCTGCTCCTCCGATGCTGCCTGGCCGGCTGTGCTTCTCCAGCTCCATACTGTGTTATCTCTGACTCCAGCATCTACAGTTCTTGCTATCTCTGTCCATCTTCCTTCTCACCTTTCATTTCCCCCCTTTCCATTGATCAATCTCCACAACCCCCTACTTGCATCCATCTGTAACCACCACATCTATCTTCCCCCAGCCCCACCCCGCTATTTATTTCTGAGCTCCCTTTCCAGTCCCCAGTCCTGATGAAGGATCCCGATCCGAAACGTCGACTTTCCCGCATCTCTGACGCTGCCTGACCTGCTGTGTTCCTCCAGCTCCACATTGTATCGACGAAAAATTCTTAAGCTCATGGCTGTTTATATAAACAAGGCTACAGATCACCAATCAAACAGCAAACACTGTCAACCCCCAAGTTACGTCACATGGACCCAACGAGAGTATCCATGAAAACAATTACTCTAACAGACTTATATCTGTAATTTTTTTAGAAAAGAAAAATTTAAGGGAAATCTTTTTCTCGAGAAGCTAACAATTTACCTCGTGTTTAACTGTAATGAACAAATATACTTACCAGCTACATAACGTACGATAAGATTGATTAAGCACAGAAACTATGAGTAAACAACATCAAGACGGAAAGGTTGGTCCCAGCCCTGGAATGATCTGCCGACCCGATGTCTACGATTATTTTGGTCAGCTATCAAGCTTTACATTCGTGTCTGTTCCCTCACAATTTCAGCTCTGATTAAAGTGAAAGCTTTTAAAAACCCAAATACGAGCATTTCTAGCATTAACTCCTTAAGAAAAAAACATTTCTATCGCTGTCAAACCTCCAAGCAATTTTTTCATATAGGAAGTTTATTAAGTAACTACCGGATCAAGTTCAATTTCTTTTATTCCCCGTTTTACAGACAGTTCTCCCGATGCTCTAACCCCTAAAGGTTGGCACTGCTGCTGAACGGGAGACGGTTTGAGAAGTGGCAGGGTCTGTACTCGAGGCCCAGGCTTTGGCCGTGTCACAGGCCGCGGCTGAGTAAGACCCGGCAGGAGGGTGAGGAGCCACGAATCGACACCGACTGAGGAAGGAGGCAGCCTTTACCTGTGCAGTCAGAGAAAGCCGACATGTCCCGGGCAACATTCACCAGCCTCTCCAATGCTCCCGTTACCACAGAAAGTCAGCCATCGCTCAGGGGAGGCGATCAGATATCTTCCCACCCCCTTCCACACTGCCCGACCGAACCCGCCGGAAATGGCCGAGTCCGGTCTTACTCCTGCGCCGGGAACACCCGAACCGCCTGCCGGAAACCGACGACCCGGACACGTGTCGTCTACCGGAAATATCCGACTCCTACCGGGAGTACCCGAACTGTTCGCCGGAAACAGCCGAGCCCGGACGCGAACCGCCCGCTCGGGAAGGCGAGATTATGATGAAGAAGGTGGTACTATGTAAGAACAACCTACATTTGTTTGTGATGATCAACCGAGCCCATAGTCTTTGGTTTCGTGGCCTGCTGCTAGGTATGGAGTACATGAGCCCAGGGTGGCACTTCGGACAAGTGAGAGGGAGCCGGACAAGCTGGAGGTGCCATCAGGCCCTACCTGAGCCCTCAGGTAGATGGGCGCCATTTCAAAGCCAGGAGCTCCCATCTCTTGGTCAATGTTCATCCCTCGGTCAAAATGTGGGGCCACTGCAGACAGTATTCACAAATTGATGTTGGTTGGACCAGCATTTATTGCTCATATAAAAGCAAAACGCTGTAGACAGTGCTGGAGAATTTGATCTGGAGATTTTCATCTTCATTTGAAGAAGAGTAATATTGACATTCTATGATATTGTATTGAAATGTTAGCTCTGTTTCTCTCTTCACAAATGCTACCAAACCTGAGTTTTTCCAGTGTTTTCTGTTTTTTTAAAATAATTTATTAACTAGGGGAAGGCAAAGTACTGCAGTCCATGTGCTGTATGTTGACCCAAAATGCCAATAGGGAGGGAATTCCAGGATTTTGACCCAGCAACAGTGAAGGAAAGGCAATATATTTCCAAGTCAGGATTTGGCTTGGAGGGGAACTTGCCATGTATCTGCTGCCCCTGCTCTTCTAAATCAAAGTGATTGTGGGTTTGGAAGGTGTTGTCCAAGGAGCCTTGGTGAATTTCTGGAGTAGATTTTGTAGATAGTAGGCAGTGTTGCTGCTGAGTGATGGTTATGGAGGGAGTAAGTGCCTTATATCCTGTGCTTAACCTTCTCAGTCTGATTCTGCATGCCGTCTCCTGACCCAAAGATCATGTTTTCCCTTGTATAGGCTCCAGTTAGCTCATCAAAGAACTCAGTAAAAATTAGTCAAACACAATTTATCTTCAATAATTTGTGCTGGCACTCATTTATTTCCATGCTTTTCCAGATGTCAATTAATTTTGTTCTGGATTATTGCCTCTAAAGGTTTTCACATTAGACTGAGTTGTGTGTAGTTACCAGATTCATCACTCTCCCATTTGTCTACATGGGTGTTTAATATTTACAATCCTACAGCCCTCCATATCTAAGGAGAATTGCAACATCAGTCTCGCTCACCTCAGTAAGTGAGGATGAATTCTATGCGGAAGAGGTTGTGCTGTTACTGTAGTTCTGTTCCTGTGTCTAATGGTCTTATCCTGTAGTGAAGACAGATGTAAAATATTAATTTAATTCTCCAGCCATAATTTCTGTCTCCACAAAGAGGATCTCTCTTTTGTCCTTAAATTGCCCCAACCTTCCTTGGAGTAATCAGTTACGCAAACCAGCTTCGCTTTGAAGACAAGTTCTATAAAGTGACATAAGTAACGTAAACTGTTAGGGTCTTTACCCCACTGTAGGGGAATCCAAAATTAGAACGCACAGATTTAAGATGAGAGGGGAAAGTGACATTTTTGCCATATCATCCCAAACACATCTCATTAACTACATAACATGCCTCAAGGTGCCTTTCTCGTCTGATGCTAGCCTGATTTGCTATCTTCCTGTAGCTGAAAGAACTCGCCACTCATCAGATATCTTAAAATAGATTGGCATCCCTGGCACCACTTCCATCTTTAAACTAGGGCCACAACCCTGGCCAGGTGTTGGTAGTATGAAGTTGCCCTTCACCAGCAACGTAATGGTACAGCAGCCCCAAGGATGCAATGCTCATGGCACATTTCCTAGCACGTGCAGGTCCATTTTCTTGCCTCTGTTGTCGTTTAACCACCAGGCCACGTGGCTTCTCTGATCTTAGCTACATCCCACCATATTGCCCTCCCTAATTCACCATTACTCTGTCCTCAATGCTCCCTCCAGACTAGGATATTAATGTTCATTAGGGGCTTGTCACAGACAGGCAAGCATTTGGACAATTTCACAAGTAAGTTTTTACTTACAATCATAAAAAGTAAACACAAACAAGACTAATAGAAGTTGCAGTTTGTCCTACAATGCAAATAAAAAATGACATGATGAAGGATTCTGACCTGAAATGTCAACTTTCTTGATCCTCAAACGCTGCCTGACCTGCTGTGTTCCTCCAGCTCCACACTGTATCAACTCGATGGCCAATGAGTACTTTTCATTCTGTAGTTACCTGTTGTACCCAGTTCTTATCATCTGGAACTGGGTGTCATTCAAGTCCTTTCTGGCTTGATGCCTGATGCAGCTGATCTTTGTCATGAATAGGGAGACCTTCCACCAGCTCAGTGTCCTCATTCTTATTCTCGAAAGGCACTTCCTGTTCACCCAGATGCTCAGCACCCGGCATGACATCTCGTTACCTGCTTCAGTTATGCAGAACAATGAATAATGCTGCACCCACTGGGGTATTTTACAGGATTCCCCTCCACCCAGAGCAGTCCAAGCAGCGGAACTGATTCTTCAGCATCTGTATTGTATGTTTCTCACAGCCCTAGTCAAAGCAAGGGCAACATGGAATCTGTGCTGTACTTCAGTTTGCAGGGCATGCAATGGTGTCATCGGCCATGGTCACAATGAGGTAACCCTTGTTGGGCACCTGGATCCCACACACAAGACATACAGGATACTTCTCCAGAAAGAAGGAGTGGTGGCAGTTGGCAGGGTAGCAGGCACACACCTCCAGAAAGTGGAACTGTTGATTGCTGATCACCTGAACGTTAGTGGAGCGGAAGCCCTTCTTACTAATGAATTCCACAATGTTGCTGTATCGCCCTCTGAGTGTAGTGTGTGTGTACAGTCAATGGAACCCTGCACCTGTGGCAAACCAGCTATGTTTCCAAATGTTACCACCTTGTCTACTGCACTGACCTCACCATGGAAAAACAAAATGAACTGGTGTGATCTTGCACAGGTGACATCAGTCACTGTCCTGATATGTTTGTAGGTGGACAACTGAGAGATTCTACACAACTCCCTGTCATTCCCTGGAAAGCCAGTCACATTGAAGTTCAAATAAAAACCAAAAGAACTGTAGATGCTGTAAATCAGGAACAAAAACAGAAGTTGCTGGAAAAGCTCAGCAGGTCTGGCAGCATCTGTGAGGAAAAAATCAGAGTTAATGTTTCGGGTCCGTTGATCCTTCCTCAGTGCCTAATTAGGGTGAGCTGTGTCAGACTAGTCAAGCAACAGGCTGACATAGTCATACTAACGGAATCATACCTTACAATGTCCCAGACACCACCATCACCATCCCTGGATATGTCCTGTCCCACTGGCAGGACAGACCCAGCAGAGGTGGCAGCACAGTGGTGTGCAATCGGGAGGAAGGGAGTTGTCCTGGGAGTCCTCAATATTGACCCTGCAACCAGTGAAGTCTCATGGTTTCAGGTAAAACGTGGGCAAGAAAACCTGCTGATTACCATGTACTGTCCCCCCTTGGCTGATAAAGCAGTTCTCTTCAATGTCAAACAACACTTGCAGGAAGCACTGAGGGTGGGGAAGGGTGCAAAATGTACTCTGGGTGGGGGTTTCAATGTCCACCACCAAGAGTGGCTCAGCAGCAGCACTACTGATCGAGCTGGTCTGGTCCTAAAAGATATTCTGCTAGACTGGGTCTGCAGCAGGTGATGAGGGAACCAACAAGAGGGAAAAACAGATGCATCTGTCCATGATAGTGTCAATAAGAGTGACCACCGCACAGTTCTTGTGGAGACGAAGTCCTGCCTTCACATTGAGAATACCCTCCATCATGTCGTGTGGCACTTTCACCATGCTAAATGGGACAGACTATGAACAGGTCTGGCAACTCAAGACCGGGCATCCATGAGGCGCTATGAGCCATCAACAGCAGCAGAATTGTACTTCAGCACAGTCTGTAACTTCGTGGCCCAGCATATCCTCCAATCAACCATTACCATCAACTCTGGTTCAATGGAGAGTGCAGGAGGCCATACTAAGAGCAGCACCAGGCGTACCTGGTGAAGCTACAAACAGGACTACCTGCAAGTCAAACAGCATAAGCAGCAAGCGTTAGAGCTAAGTGTTCTCATGACCAAAGGAACAAATCAAAATCTGTAGTCCTGCCACATTCAGTTGGGAATGGTGCTGGACAATTAAACAACTCACTAGAGGAGTAGGTGCTGCAAATATCCCCATCCTCAATGACAGAAGAAGCCAGGATATCAGTACAAAAGATAAGGCTGTAGCATTCACAACAATCTTCAGCCAGAAGTGCCATATGGATGATCCATTGTGGCCTGCTTCAGTAGTTCCATGCATTACAAATACCAGACTTCACTCAATTTGATTCACTCCATGTAATATCAAGAAACAGTTGAAGGCATGGATTTTCAAAGGCTGTGGGTCCTGACAAACATTCCAGAAATACTAAAGACCTGTGCTCCAGAACTTGCTGCTCCTCTAGCCAAATTCTTTCAGGACAGCTACAACACTAGCACCTACCTAACAAGGTGGAAAAAATGCCCACGCATGTCCTATACACAAAAAGCAGGATAAATCCAACCCAGCCAATTACTGCCCCATTAGTCCACTCTCGATCATCAGTACAGTAATGAAAGGTGTCGTATCAAGCAGCACCAGCTCAACAATAACCTGCTCAGTGATGCCCAGTTTGGGTTCCACCAGGGCCGCTCAGTTCCTGACCTCATTACAGCCTTGGTTCAAATATAGACAAAAGGGCTGAATTCCAGAGGTGAGGTGAGAGTGACAGCCCTTGACGTCAAGGCTGCATTTGACTGAGTGTGGCACCAAGGAGCCCTAGCAAACCAGGCAAACTCACCGCTGGATGGAGCTATATCTAGCAC